GCTTCGTAGGCCTCGGAGACTTCGACGAACTTGTCCTTTGCGCTATCGTCGCCTCTATTGTCATAGGAATCACCGATTAGCTTTATGCAATGAGTAGGGGCAAGGAGGAATAGGAAGACGCATACGGGTTCTTGTCGGGGTGGTATTTCTTGCTCAGCTTGCGATAAGCAGATTTGATCTCACGATCTGAGGCCTTCTTGCTGATGCCTAGGAGGTTGTAGTAGTCCTCGGCGCAGAGGGCCAGCTGGACGAGGCATAGGAGCAGCAGCACGAGTGCTGCCCCTCGGAAGTACATCGTGGGCCCCCTGTGGTGTACTTCGAGATAGAGTACTTTCCTTTCGATGAACCGGGCGCGAGAGAAAATGCTCGTTGACTCGTGGACCTGTTGGATTTCTTAAGCCCTAGAGGAATGGAAAAAGGTAAGGACTTGTCGGAAAAGAAATCGGGTTGCGAAAGAAAGGAGAGAAAAAGAGAGAAGTGAGGTAGGGTATGGAGATAATAGGTAATCGATCCAAAGGAAGCGCGCAAACCAGCTGTCCCAAAATGTAAAGTTCCAACGTGTTAAGAAGGGAGCTACGCAGGTCCGATAAGACATGTTATCCGGACATGTTCATTGGGCGCAGGCTTCTTTGCAGCTTATGCCCCACTCTCGTTGCTAAATTGTGTGGGGCCTTCTGAAGTTCAGACGAATGCGCAGAGACACCCCAGGCACGTCAACTGCTTGAGGCCTCAACCTTCATGACTTGACGTCGTCAGGCCTATTCCAGGCTTCTTGTTGAACAACTTCTTTCCGGACTGCCAAGCCGAAAACCCCCGGAAATCTCGTGGAAGCATACACCTCATACGTTTGGATTGATACATACGACCATGGCATCAAAAAAGTACGCCTTCCTCCCGATGGAGGACGACGAGGTCGGTCCCGCCAAGGTGGTCAAGGACAAGACGAAGCACAAATCGCGCCATCGCGACCGTTCGAGCGAAAGACATCGGGATCGCGACCGTAGCGATAGACCCTCGAGAAGACGATCACGCTCCAGATCGCCGGCCCGACCCTCAAAACAGTACCGCAAACGAGACGCAGACGACGACGACAGGTGGGCGGACGAGGAGCCACCGTCGGAACCCGAGGAAGCGGACGGCAACGACGAGCCCGAGTTCAAAGAGTCTGCGTCGAAGCGGTTAAAGCTTAGCCACGATGATCGCGACCGCGACGCGGACCTGTCGGATGGCGCAAAGGAAGAACTGGAGCGTCAGCGCGACATTGAGGAGCGCGAGGCGTTTGCGAAGCGGTTACGGGAAAAGGACGACAAGAAGTCAAAGACGGCTGAGAGCCGACGGCCAGAGGTGGATCGCAAGGCGAACATGGAGGATCTCCGCATGAAGAGTCGACAGATGTACCTCGGGAAACGAGAGGCTGAGAAGCTTGCCCTGCTGCGTAAACAGGTCGCCGAGGAGACGGAAGAGTTGAGGAGCGGCGTAAGGCTATCGGAGCGGGAGAAGGCCGAATTCACCAAGAACCGCGAGATTCTACGGCTAGCGGAGGAGCGCCTCAAAATTGATGACCACAAGGATGGGTACTACATCCCAGAGGACTACATCACGGAGAAGGGCAAAATCGACAAGAAGAGGAAAGAAGATGCGATGTACAAGAGATACGTGGAGAAGGATGAGTACGGGCAAGAAAAGTTCGTCACGGAGCATGAAGAGTGGGAAAGGGAGCAGGCTACCAAGGCCAAGGCGCAGATCCAGAGGTCGGAGAGAGAAAACGACGATTACTCCTACGTCATGGATGAGGAGCAGTACATCAAATGGAACTTGGGGTCAAGTATGCCTGGAGAGGGCAAATTGACCAAGGAGCAGCAATTCCTGGCGGCGCAGATCGAGGCAGCAGAGAAGAAGCAGCTCACAATCCAGGAGACGAGGAAGAGCCTGCCCATTTACGCATATCGAGATGACTTTCTCGCGGCGATGGAAAAGTATCAGATTCTGGTCATTGTTGGAGAAACAGGTTCCGGAAAGACGACACAGTTACCGCAATACCTACACGAAGCTGGGTTCACCAAGAATGGAATGAAGGTTGGATGTACGCAACCGCGTCGTGTTGCTGCGATGAGTGTCGCTGCGCGTGTGGCAGACGAGGTTGGCGTCAAGGTCGGGCAGGAGGTCGGATACTCGATTCGTTTCGAGGACAACACGAGCGACAAGACGATTCTGAAATACATGACGGACGGCATGTTGCTGAGAGAGTTCATGACTGAACCTGATCTTTCCGGGTACTCGGCCATCATGATTGATGAAGCTCACGAGAGAACTGTCCACACCGATATTTTGCTGGCTCTGGTCAAGGATTTGGCAAGGGAACGGCCAGACTTGAAACTCCTGATTTCATCAGCGACGATGAACGCCGAAAAGTTCGCCGCTTATTTCGACGATGCCCCTATTTACAACATCCCGGGACGAAGATACCCAGTTGACATTTATTATACGCCAGCGCCAGAGGCCAACTACCTGGCAGCCGCCATCACCACGGTTTTCCAAATCCACACAACGCAGGGCAAGGGCGACATCCTTGTCTTCCTCACGGGTCAAGACGAGATTGACGCGGCCGAACAACAAATAGTCGATACGGCAAAAAAGCTGGGAAGTCGTGTCAAGGAACTCGTTGTCTGTCCAATTTACGCCAACTTGCCATCGGAGCTGCAGGCAAAGATCTTCGAACCGACCCCAGAAGGTGCTCGCAAGGTCGTTCTGGCTACCAACATCGCTGAGACCAGTTTGACGATTGACGGTATCGTCTATGTCATCGACCCCGGCTTCGTCAAGGAGAACGTCTACAACCCCGCCACCGGCATGTCAAACCTCGTCGTGACACCCTGCTCAAGGGCGTCCGCGAACCAGAGGAGTGGCCGTGCAGGTCGTGTCGGACCCGGAAAGTGCTTCCGCCTCTACACAAAGTTCGCCTACATGAACGAGATGGACGAGTCGCCCATGCCGGAAATTCAGCGCACGAATCTCAACGGCGTCGTCCTCCAGCTCAAGTCGCTAGGCATCAATGAGCTCCTCGATTTTGAGTTCATGGACCCGCCGCCGACCGAGGCCCTCATCGGCGCCCTCAATCAGCTCTTTGCCCTCCAGGCTCTCAACCACAAGGGCGAGCTCACCAAGATGGGCCGCCAGATGGCCGAGTTCCCCACTGACCCGATGCTTGCCAAGGCCGTCCTCGCTGCCGACAAAGAGGGCTGCGTCGAGGAGGTGCTCTCCGTCGTCTCCATGCTCAGCGAGGCCTCGGCCCTCTTCTTCCGCCCCAAGGACAAGAAGATCCACGCCGACTCAGCGCGCGCCCGCTTCACCGTCAAGGAGGGCGGCGACCATCTGACGCTCCTCAACATCTGGAACCAGTGGGTCGACAGCGACTTCTCGCCCATCTGGTCGCGCGAGAATTTCCTGCAGCAGCGCTCCCTGACGCGTGCGCGCGACGTGCGCGACCAGCTGGCCAAGCTCTGCGAGCGCGTCGAGGTCTCGCCCTCGAGCTGCGGCGCGTCCAACCTGCCGCCCATCAAGCGCGCGCTGACGGCCGGCTTCTTCCCCAACGCGGCGCGCCTGCAGCGCAGCGGCGACAGCTACCGCACCGTCAAGAAGAACGCCACCGTCTACGTGCACCCGTCGTCGGTGCTCATGGGCGTCGACCCGCCGACCAAGATGCTCGTGTACTTTGAGCTCGTGCAGACGACAAAGGAGTACATGCGCAGCTGCATGCCCATCGAGAGCAAGTGGCTCGCCGAGCTGGCGCCGCACTTTTACAAGCAGAAGGACGTGGAGGCCATGGAGGAGAAGAAGATGCCCAAGGCTAGGACTTATGATCGGTAAAGCGGTCGTGCTGTGTGTAGAGATTTGGTGGACGGGTTGAAAAGAAGGGGACGTTAAAGGTTGGGTTTATGGAATAAAATGATCAACTTATGATACCGTATTAAACCTCTATTTTACCCAATGTATTTATCTGCCCTCTATTCACTACCTCACCCCAAGAAAGCAATAAGCCCTGCGTACATATCTTGATAATTAGCATGAGAAGAATCGCGGGTTTATCGTTAATCGTGACATGATACTAAAAAAGCGACAAAAAAAACCTAAAAGAAAAAACTTGGTCTTGCACATGCGAGATCAATTATCAAATGCCAAATCTGAGCCGTTGCCAACCGGCCTAGAAGCAGACGAGAAAGACGGACTGTGTAGTATGTGATTCCCACCCTCATGATAGCCCAACCTACGGCCGAGCTACGCCTCATGATGCCAGAACTCAGGTATCCGTAGAAGCAATTGAGAAAATTTCCTTCGGTGACACGTGGACTACCTTGGCCGGTGGCGCTAACTTGTTCATCCGGACGGTTTAGTACGCTATCAGGATACCGAACCGACTCAGGATCCTCACACTCAACGTACACCACTGCCATGCGTTGGGCCACTCCCCTTGCAAATTGCGTCTTTACAAAGTCGTCTCACATCAGCCTGCATTCTCGCTATCCGAACTTCTGCGTACGTCCTTATGAAGCAGATGAAAATGATGCAGCTGCAACAGAAAGCCATAAATCGCTGGGCGTGGGAGTAGGCCGATGGGGACGGAAGATGTTCCCAAATTCAAAAGGAAGCTACCAATCACGCACATGCCACACGTATAGCGCTCATCAGAGTGAGATAAGCAAATGATATCAATATTTATCTTGCTTTGCCCAACTCCAAAATCGAACCCTATCAAGGTAGAAGAAAAACGCATGTGAAGAGAAGAAAAACACGTTTCCTCCCTCTCTAATTCGATGAGCTAGCCTCCATCAACGAGTGCTGGCCTAGTTTGCAGCATTTGAATAGAAGAAAAAACGACAAGAAAAGTCATAGAACGTCCACTTTGGTATCAATGGTTTCTCCGGTTTGCCTCCGACTCCGTAACGTAAATTTGTTTTGTTTTCGCTTCAATTTTCATCAAACGTCCCGTCATTGTCCTCTCTTTAACGTGATGGCCCCTCGATCGGGCTCGTGGGCAAGCTGCGGACCCCGCTGAGATCCGTGCTTCCCGTGCGCCTGAGCGCTTGTGACATAGTCTCAATATTGAGCTCGCTGCTCATGTTGAGGTTGTGATGGGACGAAATGGGGCTGCCAAGAGATTTGCGTCCGGGGGACATTTCCAGTCCCTTCACGGACGCGGGATTGCTTGTTGGCGGTGAGGTGCCCGGTCCCTGAGAAGAGACGGGTGATCGGATGGGTGAGGGCGAGCGGGCGTTGATGGACGAGAGGGACGTCAGCCCAGCGACATGGATGGAATCACGAGAACCTGCTGCGCCGCCGTGGCCGCCCTGCTCGGCTTGCACGACGTCGGCAAAAGAGATGAAGCTCAGCCTGCGCACGTCGGCATTATCGAGCGCATTGTAGTTGGAAGCGTCTTCGCGATCCGCAAATGCACGGAGCTCATCGGTCCATGATGCAGCCATGGAATCGGGAGGGTGAGGTGTACCGTTTCCGTTGGCGCCGGTGACAGCTGCTGCAGCTGGTTGATGCTGAGAGTGGGTGACAATCTCGACGCTATCCGGATCAAGATGGTCGTTTGTGATGGCTTCGGATGATGCGTCCAAAACGGGAGGGATATGGTTCTCGGTCTGAATATGCGACGGAATGGCGGGCGATTGAGGCTTAATTGACATGTTGTCGACATCTCGCTCGAAGATCTGGGAGCCCGCCGGGGATGGCACTCGCGGGGACGTAGACATTCCACGGCTTGGCGATGAAGGGTGCACGTAAGGCGATGTCGTAGACCGAGCTGAAGCTCTAGAGGTATCCCGTGTCAAGGAGGGGTTGCTGGTGACGGTCGTTGCAGGTTTGGCAGACGATGAAGACTTGTTGGAGACATTTGACTCTTCCTTCTTTTTGCCGAGTCCGAACAATCCGCGCACCTTGTTCTTCACGTCCTTCTTCGTGTTGTCCGATTGAGGCTCATTGTGGCTCGAGGCGCGGGGTGTCGCATCACCGCTTGTGGTGCCGGCCATATTGTGAGCGACGACGGCGGGGTGCTGTACGATCGTCTCGGCGATGTTGTTGGGGTTTGCCTCAACTAGGCTCATCTTGATGCAGGGTTGTTCGAGTCGGTGGTGTTGGTGGTTTTGGTGTTTAAGAGGTGGGATGCAGATGGATTTGCTGACACAATGCTATTTGGTGGTTTCTGTGGGAAAAGGGACCAAGAGTTAATGGAATGTCTCTCTTCAACAAGCAGGGAACCTGAGGTTGACGTGATGTTATGTAGGCCCAGAAGAAAGAGAGGGGGGAAGGGACGTGGATAAATGAAGTCTGGGAAAACAGGTGGTGGGGGGACAAATAGATTGGCTTTCGGTGACCCTGTGACCCTGACGTATATTCCCGCGATTCGCCTTTTTTGGGTCACTGCAAGGGAAGGGGAGGGTGGAAGGGGGTGCAAGTGTGCGAGTGCGGTGATTGATTGTCACAGGAGCGTCCAGTCGGCGAGGCAGAAAAAAAAGAGCAGCGCATCGGCAGCAGCAAGCAAGCAATACATGCGCACGCCGTCCGCAGCAGGTAACAGCGCCGCCGCCGGAGACACCCCCAGCCAAGACAACCAAGATGTTCTTTTTTTTTTTTTAACCTGAACGGTACAGAGGGTACATGGACGGGGTTGGGTATGGGTTTGGGGGTGGTGGACATGGGATATCCGAAGGGTGGGATAATAGTATCGAGATGTACATACCAGAACGGTTCAATAGTAGAGCAGCGCAACACCAAGGGGGAAGAACCGAGAATGTGCGCAGTTCCCCTGCGTGCAGAACTTGGGGAATGGAAGCGGACTAGCCGTTGAGACCCGTGAGCGATGGAGAAATGGGATGATTTACACGGAACGGCGTTGGTCTTTTTTGGATTGATGGCGTTGTTGGACGAGACGGTAGTCAGGTGTCTGTCTTCGTAGCCCGTCTTGGTCTTGGTCTTGGTCCCTTTTCAGATCGTCTGCCGCTTGCTGTGTCACTTTTTGTCTGTGTCTCTTGGTCGAAGGCGACGAAGAGACAAGTAGGAAGAGGGGTGACCGAATCGCTTCTCTGCCGCAGGCACGCAGACCACGAAATGCAGCCAGTAGTCTCGTTGGAAAATTGGCGCTCGATAAAGACGGCCTCGAGAAGCGATCCCTGATTGACGAGCGAGGATTTAGGAAGCTGGGGGAGAGAGAAAGGCGGGAGCGTGTGACGCAACAGGTCCAGAGGATGAGCAAGCGGATTGGCGGTTTCCTGATGATTTGACCCCTGCTGCAGGAGCCTTGTGGTGCTGATCTGTAAGAGAGGCCTAGGCCTGGTCTGCTGTGCCTTGCTTGTGGTTGTTGGAGACCTGGAGATGCTCCGTAAGAGACGAGTTCGGTTGGATGAGGTAGGCGGGTTGGTCCCGTTATTTGGTGGATAAGATGGATTGCTTTTCTGGTCTCCGGTGAGGCGGATTGCGGGTGCGGTGCTGATACAGTAGATGCGGGCAAGGTGGTGGACGTCTGTCTGGTGAAGCGGTATCAAGAGTGCCGGATGCAGCATATGCAACAATAAGGTACGGGTATACAGATTTATTCGGGCATGAAGCGTCAGGAAATGTCAATCTAGGAGCGAAAGAGAAGAGGAGGATGGGGAAGGGGCAGTTATTATCGCCTGTCAGGAGCAGCTTTCGCGTCTCTTCTCGGCAGTCAGCGGATCATGTTTTTTCGGTCCATTTACATGCACTACACTCTACGGGGTACCTAAGGTAAGGTAAGGAAGGTAAGTATGAATAAGTTCCGGGATACTTTGGTTTCCCTTTCCTTTCCTCGCTCTCACGCAGGTTCCTGATTGCTTCCTGCCCAACGCTGCTCCGTCAGCTAAGAGAAACTAAAACGTTCCCACCAAACGATCAAAGGGGAACGGTCACCCGTCAGTCACCCGTCAACAACGCCCACTTAGATCTGCGTCCCTAGGTACGAATACCTCAGCAGCTTATGAAAAAAAGGGGTGTCCCCGTCACGTTCCCACGTCGCGACGTACCCGACGTCTACGTCGCCCGTCGCCAGCCCCGGAGCTCCCAACGTTGTTTAGAGTTTTTGCATTGACGTGATGCCGCGCCGAAGGAAGTTGCTGCGGGTGACATGTCTAGCCCCCCTTCCTTCTCCCTTCCGTCACCACTCACCACTGCCTACTGCCTTGGTATACCTCGCAGCAAGTACCTTGGATTGCACAGGTTTCTACCCAAGTATTCTCCCAAGTATCTACCCACTATATCTTGTAAGGCGAGGTACTGCGAGCCTCACTATGTATTTGCATTGTGCCTTACCTCACTCTGTTACTCCCGTGCCGCTTATCCAGAATGACTATGACAAACCATCACAGCCCAAAGACACCCAGGAGAAAAGCCTTAGCAGAGAGCCCGATATCTCCAAAGGCGAACCGGACGCGATCTCGTCTCGCCTCTCATCTTTGTCACCGGCAGTAGTGTAGTTCAGGCACCGCGTCACGTCTTCTCCAAAGTGTCCCCCTAAGCTTTCTTGGTTTAGGCCTAGGTTAAGAAAAGAAATCCTCCGCTAGTCCCCCCGTTGACTTCCGCAGCCTCCGATGGCCCCCTCAACCGGCGTCAGGGGGAATCTGACTAGGCATGCATTTTGTATGGTTTATAATGCTGGACTTGTCGAAACTCTGTCCGGACACATCCCCGTTGGCCTTGGAGAGAATCGTTGAACGTCCTTTCCCCCTTCATCGGCGGACTGTGCGAGCGTGAACCGATCGGCAGCCGTAAAATCGCATTTTACATATACTCGGTCAGTCGCACAAGCGTCGATAGCCATGAATGGATACGCGGGGAAACGAAGACGACCGTCGACCGTCGACCGTGAGCGGTCGCCCGGCGTTCCTCTGGCGTGTCTCGAGTTCCAATTGGGATTACATCGGCTGACTGTCCGTGTGTTTCGTCCGTCCGTATCCAATATGTAATCTGTTTGGGACGCCCGACTAAAGTTCCCGTAGCTTTCTTTTCTTTTGCTCTTCCAAATTCTAACTGGATATCACCATTAATCTCACACGCGTCTTTCAGGAGCTCATTTCCTTGTGCCCTCCTGACCTAAATGGGCTGAAATGTCGAATGCGACCCGTTGACTTTCTTGTCGTCTTCCAAGTTACCCGATTCGGACGCATCGCCAAGTCTTCCCTTCTCCCTTTAGTCAACTTTCGGTAACCGTAGGGACAGCTCAGCCTAGTCTCGACCCTGGACCCCTTCTCTTTTCACAATGCAGCACGCAGTAGTGGCCAGAGATTTGATGTCTTAGACCCCTCAACGACAACTTTTTTTGGTCTCGGTTTCTCTCGGGGCGTTGTTCACTGACTTGAACCCCCGTTATGATCCCCATCATCAGTCAATCCCCAGTCCGCATTATCGTGTACGACAAGTCGGTGACTGCGGAATAGTAGCTCCATCCCTGAGTTTGTTATAGCATAGTCAGTTGACTCGCGTATTTCTCTTAAGCGTTCCCAGCGTCACAGCCCATGAACCTCTCGGAGATTCCCCCCGTCTGAAGTAAAGCTACTCACCGACCACCGAACCCCTAGCACCCTTGTCTCTCGCTCTCTCTTGTGTCTCTGGCACTTTGCTCTTATATCCGAAAACGCTGACCACTCTACATCCTTGAAGAGGGTTTGTTTGATAGCTGGTGGAACATGGCCGAAGAAACGACGAGGATCGCCCCTCTTCCCTGTTCAGACGAAAAAGTCGGGACTCGGGAAGCATGCAACAGAGAGGAGTCAGAAGACACCTAGGTTCTGGCGTTCTTGGTTCTGGCTTCTGCCAACATTGAAAAAGTTCTTCTCGTTCCCTGTTTTTGGCTTCAGACTGATCCCCCATCCAACACTCTCTCCACCCTCCCACCTCGTCAGCCTCGGTCCCGGCCTTCTTTCTTCTTTGACATGTTTTTTCCCCCACGGACTCTGCATCAGTGATCTCCATCACATCTGAGGGGTTTAGACAGAAGCATTAAGCTCGCAGGGTGCCCCGTCACCGATCCCATCACTGGGTCAGCCGTGGGCGCCCGCGGCATATTCCCTCAGAAAGAAAAAGATCTTCCAAAGAGCGGTCGTGATAAAAGTAGAGAGGATGCCAAAAGACAACAATAAGAAAAACCGCCCCGTGGAAGGACTCCTCTTCTGCCGCCTCATTCTCACTTACCGCTCACTACTCAGCAACAAGGACCCCTCTTTGCCTTCTGTACTGCCTTTACTCTGTATACTCTGTAGACCCTCTTGCGCCGGCAAGGCACGAATCCCTGCGTAAATCGGGCTTCCCGCCTCGCTTTACACTTGGTCCCTGGAAAAACCAGGCCCCATGGAAAGCACGTCACTGACAATTCTGCATAAACAACACCAATGCGTAGAATGACAGTAGAATCTTTCCAACAGCTTCTGATGGGAAACATGTCTACACGTGCTATTGCGGAAAATAACGCATTGCAATGATGCCTTCTTCCTCTTGGTATTTCTTGGGAAAAACACTACTCCACGTAACCAACTCCCTTGGCGCATCAGATGCTCTCAAGGGCACAAGGAAACTATGGTAAAAGCCGACGGGAGCAACACCGTTGCCGCGCCGCGGTTGCGAGATGCTTTCCCCGAAACCACAAAGTTGTCATTCTTGTTTTGTTTGCGTTTAACCTTCCTTCTCTCTCTTTCGCCTTTCACTGGAGCAACCGACAGCGAGGATCGGGGGAGGTAACGCGGAAGGTAAAGGGGCGCCCCCCGGAAGCTTCGCAGACGTCACCGGCGACGCTGCGCTGGCAAGAGAAAGCCAAGTAAGCCTTGATCCAATCAATTCCGCTTTCTCGGACCAGCCCGTTTTCCTTGGTGTCTCCAACTTTCCATTCTCCGTTGAATGTCTCGCGCGTGATATGTCATGTGATTCTATCGATAAGAACGGGTGCCAACTTGGATGGAATGCCTGAGGCGTGACTGGGGAACACGAGGCAACAGCGGTTTACTTACCTAATCAATTCAGCATCCCTTTTGGGACAGCTCGCTCCACATGCTACATTACCTAAGCCAAATTTCCAATCGGCTGTTCGAAAAACTTCAGA